GATCAGTTTTAACAAATTTAGTATAAGAGGAAAGGAAATTGAACTTAGAATAGTCTGTACAAAAGGTAGTTTTTGTCAACACCGCAAATTGCTATGAAACCAAAACATTAACCTTTAAATTTATGTTTTAAATAAGCTCGACAGACACTATTTACATTATTCGGACTATTGTCCTCATCTTTGTCGCCATATTTATGACAACGTTTCGGCCGTTGTACGCTCCGGCCTTCTTCAGGTGGTTGGAATGTCGAACTGAACCCTCAAGGACACATGGCACAGTGGATGAAAGCGTTAGTTAGATACAGTGACAGGACCCAAAGAGTGTGAGTTCAATACCCGGTTAAGGCAGTGGAGAACTTGGAGAAGGGAATTAACAGGAGATAACTGACAACTGACATCTATTAAACATGGCACGTGGAACTAGAACAGTCTACCCCTAGTGAGCGAAATAAAGGGTTCAGTTCGACATTCCAACCACCTGAAGAAGGTCGGAGCGTACAACGGCTGTGACGTTGTAATAAATATGGCGACAAAGATGAGGACCAAACGGGCCGTATGTGGCTCGCGGGCCTCAGTTTGCCCATGACTTGTGTATATTATTGTTTGTCTTGACGTAGAAATGATACTACGAAAAGGAAATACTTGATTTCACAACCAGCCTGAAAAGGGATGGACTCCCTCAGACCCGACTGCTTCACTTGCTGTAGAAAATACGATGCCGCTATAACCTTAATAAGCTGCGGTACACGTGACTTGAGGAATGTCAAGGTTTCTTGTTTGTTTTGTTTTGTTTTGTTTTTTTTTTTTGGGGGTTCTCAAGCATGAACATTCAAAAATAAAACGTCTGTCTTTGAGAGAGGTTTTTTGAATTAAAAACGGCGCCTCTCCGTTTGCTTCGCACATTGGTTGCAAAGCAGATGCGAAAATTGGTCTTTCTACATTAGTGTATATATATATATATATATATATATATATATATATATGGATCGATTTTATTAACAGTCCATTGTGGGCTACAGTTTTTATTGTATCAATCACGGATTCCACTTCACTTGCAAGTTTGTATTTATTGATTTTATATTTTTATTTCTATATTAACTGCCATTAAAATTACAAGGAGCTTTAAGGTTGTTTTTTTTATTTTATTTTTTATTTTTTTTCATTTTTTATTCAAACGGAAAGAGTAAATTAAACACATATTCAGGCATTGATGCAGCTGTCTACTTTTAGATTATCATTTTGATATCTGTTAGGTATGTTCTTCGCTACTTTCCTCTTTCTCTCTTTCAATATGTCATATTGAGCTAATGTCATATTGAGCTAATGTCATATGTGTGTCAAATTCTACAATCCCAATTTCCTTGTTATGTAACCTAAAAATTTCAATTTTTTCTTTATAATTCTAAGTGTCCTTTTTTGTTTCAAACAAAACCCCAATAATTATAAAGACTTTTATTTCATTCGAAACTGTTCCTATTTTAACAGATTTTAAAACACTCCAAAATGGTTTCTTTAATCTTAATAGTTTTATTTGAGCCACATATAAAATTATATAAAATTTATATAAAATATTATATAAAATATTGTATAATATATATATATATATATATAATATATATAAAATATAAAATATTATATAAAAATATATCAAATATTATATAATATATATATATAAAATACGTATATAAAATATTAAATATTATATAAAATATATAAAATATTATATAAAATATATATAATATATATATATAAAAAGTTGCAAATTAAAAATAATAATGTTTTTATGAAAGTATTTATTTATTTATATATATATTTGATATATATATAAATACTTTCATAAAAAACATTATTATTTTTTTAATTTGCAACTTTTTTATATATACATATTAAGAAAGTATACGTGGCTTCTCATTATATATATATATATATATATATATATACATATATATATATATATATAAAAATATATATAATATAAATATTATATAAAAATATATAAAATTTATATAAAATATATATATGACTATATAGTGTTAATTCATTTACGTATTAAATTTATTTTATTTTATTTATTTATTTTTGAGCTGTTTTAAAATTTTCGACCTAATTCTGTTGGGAGCCTCACGAGGAATCTAAACGGAGCTCTACATAAATATTCATCTCGGAAAGCCTAATTTTTAGTGCATTTCGAAAAAAATGGTGTTAATTTTGGGAGAACTTGGTCTACACGGAAAAGATATTCAAATAATCTATAACATGTACTGGGAACAAACAACTAACCAAGAACAATTTAATTGAACATATGAGTACGACAAGGGTGTCTATTCACATCGGATTTATTTAACCTGTACAGCGAAAGGAGTATAAAACTTACCAGAATTAATTATATAACCATACCTACACGCACGAAATATGCGAGATACAAACGTGAGCCGACTACGTCTACAGCTAACATAACCCTCCTCCATCATATTAACAGGTCTGTCATTGTATCGTGAAT